AAATAAATAAAAATCCCCAAACAAACCAACACCTTTCTGTAAAGTTGTGAGAATAACTATTTGGCATTTTCCTAACATCCTTCATAAAACAATACAAAACTGTATAGGTGAGAGACAGAAGAGCTCACATCAGGACATCTAGAAAGGATTAAGTAATTTGGAAATGAATTGATTTTCCAATTAAAGTGTGCTGCTGATGTACGTGGATAATTGCAGAGACAATTGAAACAGATTTCCCAATGGCATCCCTACACAATATCTAAAAGGCAGCCTTTTCCTCCTTCCAGAAAAACAAAAACACTTAAATGATTTTGTCTAAGAGTACTAAGATAAACCACTTTTGGATACAATGCTTCGCATTTGACAGTCATGGAAAATAAACAGACTCTCAGACTCTGCCCTGGTTTTAAGTGATTGAAACTCCATTCACTGCTATTTGTGGAGTTTGCACCCACACTGACATAGGGCTGTTTGGTTCACTTTCAGTTTTCCATGTAGTTTTCAAAGGCCAAGAAACTATGATTCAAATATACAGAGATGTGGCTAACACAGTGGTTTCACACCAGCATAATCTGATGACAGGCAGAGGATGCGACTTGGGTACAATACCTTCCTATCTTGTTTCCTGAGCTAGCTGGGGTTGAGTGCTGTGAAGGGAGCCACAGTCATTCCTCTGCACCAGTCAGGTCTGTGTGGCACTGGGATGTAGGATCTCTGAGGGTGGGGTTTAAACAGACGTTCCTGAGGAATTATCCCCAAAAGTTTTTTTTAAGAAAGCATCAAATATAATTCAAGTAAGGCAAGGCTGGAGTTAGAGTTTATCATCATTTTTATTTTGTTCTGTAAGTCTGTTACATGGTGGGTAGGCAATAAATGTGAAATTAATACATAATTCACTGGTATTTCATGCTCATGTTTGAGTAGGACAAACAAAATATTCTGCAGTCACACTAGGCTATGGCATTAAGATATGAATGACATGCCTTTGTTTCCAGCTGATTGGTTGTTGATGAACGTATAAACAAAGAGAAGAGTTACCTTTGTGAATGGAAGCTGGGGAGTGGGTGGCTTAACCATGAGGTTTGTTAAACCCTAGTGTAGTGGTTTCAAATCTCAAAAGATTAATCACCCAATTAATTCTTCCAAAGTAGGTCTGAAGAATACCATGACATTTGTTGTGGCTGCATGTCTTTCAGATGATGTATTTAAAAATAGATGTGTTGTCTGCTTTGTGTGGTTATTAAAAAGCCTGTGGCATTTTTGTTAAAATATGTATTTACCCCAGTTTCTCTGGCCAAGAATTCCCTTCCTGGAGTCCTCGTGTGTAGTGTGCTGTATACTTTCTTGGCTTCAACCCTGTGCTTGAGAGGTGGCTGCATTTAATGGAGCTTTGTGTAGGCAGCAGAAAATTTTGGACTCAGTTACAGCAATATGAATCCACAATAACTGCATTGAAGTTAGTGGGAGCTACTCTAAACTTACATTGCAGTAACTGAGAGAATAATAGGACTGGCCCATTTTTTGCGTTCCTTCAATATGTGGAGTTTTATAAATAGAATATTGTATATTTTTATATTATATGAGAGAGATTTTACATATACCAGGAAGTGGAATCTATTTGATCTTTCTTCGACTGATCCCAAGTCAGTATATGTTACATAGTTGTATAGCACCAAAACCTGGCCATGGGCTCTTCATGTCTAGATTGGTTTGACATACGTCTGTCTGTATATTTTAATAGTTCCTTTAGTATCCTAGAATACTGTTGTCCTGGCTACTATGCACAAGTATTTGACCGAATCTCATTATGTAGGTGTCTAGAGCAGTGGTTTTCAAACTGCAGGTCATGACCCAGTACTGGGTCACGGAATGCAGGGCACTGGGTCGCAATGGCTCTGGTCAGCACCGCTGACAGGGCCGTTAGAAGTCCCGTCAGTGGTGCTGCCCGGCTAAGGCAGGCTAGTCCCTACCTGTTCTGATACTGTGCTGCGCCTTGGAAGTGGCCAGCAGCAGGTCCGGCTCCTAGGCGGGGGGGCACAGGGCTCCGTGAGCTGCCCCCACCCCGAGCACCAGCTCCGCACTCCCCAGCTTGCAGGAAGATTCTGCAAGCATGGAACTGCAGTGGGTGTTTTAAGTGAAAGCTGGAGGAGACGTATCCCAGGGTCCTGACATGGGAAAAGCCCATGTGAGTCAGCACAACTCAGCAATGCCACAGAGAGAGGACCCTTCAGAGAGGACTTGCCGCTTCCAGGGCACAGCGTGGTCCACATTGCCAGGACAGCAGGAAGCCTGCCTTAGCACCCCTGCTGCGCTGCTGACCAGGAGCTGCCTGAGGTAAGCTCACAGCCCTGAGCCCCCCCCAATCTGGAGCCCCTTCCTGCACCCCAAACTCCTCATCGCCAGCCCAGAGCCCCCTCCCACACCCTGAATCCCTCATTCCCGGCCCCAGCCCTGAGCCCCTCCCACACCATTCATCCCCTGCTCCATTGGGTCACGGATATCAACAATTTTTTTCAACTGGGCCACCAGAAAAAAAGTTTGAAAACCACTGCTCTAGTGTACTGAAGTTTTGTGCTCTTTTGTGGAAAATTAGGTTTAAAAAATGCAATTGTTTTTTTAAAAAAGTATTTGTGAATAAAACAACTATGACCCTCACTGCTAATTAATTGGCGCCAACAATTTTCAGCATGAGTCAAGGCTTTGAATACTATTGGCCCATGCAAAACACATGAACAGTGCACAGGTGGTAAATGCTCCTGGAAATGTGTAGTTGTACATACAGTTGCCTTGTCTGGGTGCATCTCTTTGCACACCAAATACAAGGTTTTGAGCATGCAGTCGGTGTGCACTAATTCTGTCTTTCTCATCTGAAGCATTGGCCCTGTTTTTTTTTAAACTATTGGTACATACACAAATCCTAAATGTCCTGTACTCAAGTGATTCCTCAGTTAGCACACACAATTTAACTTTTCGTTTCAGGCTTTGCCCCAGGGACACAGAAAATTACAGTTATAACAAAAAGATGAACATTAACTTGCTATATAGACATTCTAGGAAAATGACTATAGGGATATATAATGATACGCTTCAGCTTTAGTGTCATTAGTCAGTCTAGTTTATGGCTGGCTTTATGAGCAAAATTAGGGGGTTATTTGATTTTTAACCAAGTTTCTGTGAAAATTGGTTCATCTGGCTTACATTACTGTCGATGATTACTAATGCAGCCACTCAGACGTTGGATAGTGTGCTATGCATACTAAAGAGAACAGAATTTCATCTCATGGAGAACTAGAGTGTCATAAATGTAAAGGGAAGGGGAAACCCCTTTAAAATCCCTCCTGGCCAGAAGAAAAATCCTCTCACCTGTAAAGGGTTAAGAAGCTAAAGGTAACCTCGCTGGCACCTGACCAAAATGACCAATGAGGAGACAAGATACTTTCAAAAGCTGGGAGGAGGGAGAAAACAAAGGGTCTGTGTCTCTCTGTCGGTATGCTGCTTTGCCGGGGATAGAACAGGAATGGAGTCTTAGAACTTTTAGTAAGTAATCTAGCTAGGTATGCGTTAGATTATGATTTCTTTAAATGGCTGAGAAAAGAATTGTGCTGAATAGAATGACTATTTCTGTCTGTGTGTCTTTTTTGTAACTTAAGGTTTTGCCTAGAGGGATTCTCTATGTTTTGAATCTAATTACCCTGTAAGGTACCTACCATCCTGATTTTACAGGGGTGATTCCTTTACTCCTATTTACTTCTATTTCTATTAAAAGTCTTCTTGTAAGAAAACTGAATGCTTTTTCATTGTTCTCGGATCCAAGGGTTTGGGTCTGTGGTCACCTATGCAAATTGGTGAGGATTTTTACCAAACCTTTCCCAGGAAGTGGGGTGCAAGGGTTGGGAGGATTTTGGGGGGGAAAGACGTGTCCAAACTACGTTTCCCACTAAACCCAGTTAGAGTTTGGTGATGGCAGTGGGTATTCCAAGGACAAAAGATAAAATTAATTTGTACCTTGGGGACGTTTTAACCTAAGCTGGTAAAAGTAAGCTTAGGAGGTTTTCATGCAGGTCCCCACATCTGTACCCTAGAGTTCAGAGTGGGGGAGGAACCTTGACATAGAGTCTTGATTCCATTTGTGTCTTCACTGGTGCTCACTTCCAATGTTTTAGACTTGAACAGAAAAATGTCCATTGTGGCTTTCTTAAGATAGTTACCGGAGACACAGGTATATCTACCGATCCCAAATGTTATGCCCAGCGTGAGAAACTCATAGATGTGTTTATTGGGCAGGAAGCTCTTTTAGAAATTGATGAAATTAGTAGAAGAGTAGGGGGAAATTGGCCTAATTAATCAAGTAATGTATAGTGGGCCTGTGACAGGATGCAGTTAGTAGCTATAAACTGAGCCTTTTGGAAGCCAGCACTCTGGTCCCTTAGAATACCCAGGGCACTGGCTATTGTTAGAGTAGGAGGGATTTAGGTAGTCTGGATTTGGAAGGGTAGAAGGGATCATTTGCACCTTTACGGAGCTTGATGAGGTAATTAGCTTGCCGGCTGGATAGCTCTAGGAAGAAAGCAAGCAATATAAAAGGCTGAGCCAGGGAGCAGGAAGGGGACTCTACATTACTGCTGCTGTGTTGTGATATACAATAATGGAGTCACTTGGGCCTGGTCTACACTATGAGTTTAGGTCGAATTTAGCAGCGTTATCTCGATTTAACCCTGCTCCCATCCACACGATGAAGCCCTTTTTTCTGACTTAAAGGGCTCTTAAAATCGATTTCTTTACTCCACCCCCGACGTGTGGATTAGCGCTGAAATCGGCCTTGTTGGGTTGAATTTGGGGTACTGTGGACCCAATTCGAAGGTATTGGCCTCTGGGAGCTATCCCAGAGTGCTCAGTTGTGACCGCTCTGGACAGCGCTCTCAACTCAGATGCACTGGCCAGGTATACAGGAAAAGGCCTGTGAACTTTTGAATCTCATTTCCTGTTTGGCCAGCGTGGCGAACTCACCTGTACAGGTCACCATGCAGAGCCCATCAGCACAGGAGACCATGCAGTCACAGAATCGCCGAAGAGCTCCAGCATGGACCGAATGGGAGGTACGGGATCTGATCGCTGTATTGGGAGACGAATCTGTGCCGGCAGAACTCCGTTCGAAAAGATGAAATGCCAAAATATTTGAAAAAACCTCCAATGGCATGAAAGACAGAGGCCATAACAGGGACCCGCAGCAGTGCTGCATGAAAATTAAGGAGCTCAGGCAAGCCTACCAAAAAACCAGAGAGGCAAATGGCCGCTCCGGTTCAGAGCCACAGACATGCTGCTTCTATGATGAGCTGCATGCCATTCTAGGGGATGCAGCCACCACTACCCCAACCATGTGCTTTGACTCCGTCCCAGGAGTGACAGGCAACACGGAAGCGGGTTTTGGGGGCGAGGAAGATAGCTCACAGCAAGGAAGTGGAGAAACCGGTTTCCCCAACAGCCAGGATCTGTTTATCACCCTGGACCTGGAACCAGTACCCCCCACACCTACCCAAGGCGGGCTCCCAGACCCTGAAGGCGGAGAAGGGACCTCTGGTGAGTATACCTTTTGTAAATATTATACATGGTTTAAAAGCAAGCGGGTTTAATGATTAATTTGCCCTGACATTCGTGGCCAGTACAGCAACTGGAAAAGTCTGTTAACATGTCTGGGGATGGAGCGGAAATCCTCCAGGGACATCTCCATAAAGCTCTCCTGGATGTACTCCCAGAGTCTTTGCAAAAGGTTTCTGGGGAGGGCAGCCTTATTCCATCCTCCATGGTAAGACACTTTACCACGCCAGGCCAGTAGCACCTAGTCAGGAATCATTGCAGAACAAAGCATTGCAGCGTATGGTCCCGGTGTTTGCTGTCATTCAAGCAACATCCGTTCTTTATCTCTCTGTGTTACCCTCAGGAGAGTGATATCATTCATGGTCACCTGGTTGAAATAGGGTGGTTTTAGTAAGCGAACATTCAGAGGTGCCATCCCTGCTGGGCTGTTTGCCTGTGGCTGAACAGAAATCATCCCCGCTGTTAGCCATGTGGTGGGGGAGGGGTGAAGCCGCCATCCCAGAGAATTGGGTGTGTGTGTGGGGTGGGGAGGAGGGGTTAGTTGGGTTTCTGCTGCATGTGAACCCAGAACCGCAGCCCCTCCTTTTAAATTGCCAACCCATTTTAAATGGCCAACCCAACGGCTACTTCATATGGGAAATGAGGGCGCTGCTGTTTGAAACCATTCCCATGTGTTATGAAGGTTAAAGAAGCCAAAAGACTGTGGCTTACCATGGCTGCCTGGAAGCCAAATTCTGTTGCCCGGCCCTGCGTCAGTGATCTCTCACACCAAAGCGGCAGACCCTCAATAAGAGGCAAAATGCGACCTTGTAATGAAAGCACATGTGCTATGTAATGTTAACAGCAAGGTTTACCATGAAAGAGTGTACCCATTGTTCGATAAAATGTGTCTTTTTAACTTCCACTCTCCCTTTTTTTCCCATCCAACAGCTGCATATGTTTCTCCTTCCCAGAGGCTAGCGAAGATTAGAAGGCAAAAAAAAGCACTCATGATGAAATGTTCTCCGACCTCATGCTGTCCTCCCACGCAGACAGAGCACAGCAAAATACGTGGAGGGAGACAATCTCAGAGTGCAGGGAAACACAATATGACCGTGAGGAGAGGTGGCGGGCTGAAGATGGTAGGTGTCATCGGCTTGCTGAAAGAAGGCAGGAGTCAATGCTCAGGCTGCTGGAGGATCAAACTCGTATGCTCCAGCATATGGTTGAGCTACAGGAAAGGCAGCAGGACCACAGACCACTGCTACAGCCCCTGTGTAACCAACCGCCCTCCTCCCCAAGTTCCATAGCCTCCACACCCAGACGCCCAAGAACATGGTGTGGGGGCCTCCGGCCACCCAGGCACTCCACCCCAGAGGATTGCCCAAGCAACAGAAGGCTGGCATTCAATAAGTTTTAAAGTTTTAAACTTTTAAAGTGCTGTGTGGCCTTGTACTTCCCTCCTCCACCACCCCTCCTGGTGCTTCTCTCCTCCACCACCCCTCTCGGTCTACTTTGGTAGTTATCCCCCTATTTGTGTGATGAATGAATAAAGAATGCATGAATGTGAAGCAACAATGACTTTATTGCCTCTGCAAGCAGAGATAGAAGGTGGGGGGGAGGTTGCTTAGCTTACAGAAAAGTAGAGTGAACCCGGGGGCGGGGCGTTTCCATCAAGGAGAAACAAACAGAACTTTCACACCGTAGCCTGGCCATTCCTGAAACTGGTTTTCAAAGCTTCTCTGATGCGCACCGCACCCTCCTGTGCTCTTCTTACTGCCCTGGTGTCTGGCTGCGCGTAATCAGCGGCCAGGTGATTTGCCTTAACCTGCCATAAATGTCTCCCCCTTACTCTCAGATATTGTGGAGGGCACAGCAAGCAGTAATAACAGTGGGAATATTGGTTTCGCTGAGGTCTAAATGACTCAGTAAACTGCACTAGTGTACTTTTAAATGCACATTCTACCACCATTCTCAGCCTGTAGTTGAACAGCTCCTGACTACTGTCCAGGCTGCCTGTGTACGGCTTCATGAGCCATGGCATTAAGGGGTAGCCTGGGTCCCCAAGGATAACTATAGGCATTTCAACATCCCCAAAGGTTATTTTCTGGTCTGGGAATAAAGTCCCTTCCTGCAGCTTTTGAAACAGACCAGAGTTCCTGAAGATGCGAGTGTCATGTACCTTTCTTGGCCATCCCACGTTGATGTTGGTGAAATGTCCCTTGTGATCCACCAGAGCTTGCAGCACCATTGAAAAGTACCCCTTGCTGTTTATGTACTCGCTGCCTTGGTGCTCCGGTGCCAAGATAGGGATATGGGTTCCATCTATGGCCCCACCACAGTTAGGGAATCCCATTGCAGCAAAGCCATCCACTATGACCTACACATTTCCCGGAGTCACTACCCTTGATATCAGCAGCTCAGTGATTGCGTTGGCTACTTGCATCACAGCAGCCCCCACAGTAGATTTGCTCACTCCAAATTGATTCCCAACTGACTGGTAGCTGTCTGGCTTTGCAAGCTTCCACAGGGCTATCGCCACTCGCTTCTCAACTGTGAGGGCTGCTCTCATCTTGGTAATCTTGCGATTCAGGGTAGGGGAAAGCAAGTCACAAAGTTCCATGAAGGTGCCCTTACACATGCAAAAGTTTTGCAGCCACTGGGAATCGTCCCAGACCTGCAACACTATGCGGTCCCACCAGTCTGTGCTTGTTTCCCAGGCCCAGAATCGGCGTTCCACGCCATGAGCTGCCCAATTGACACTATGATGTGCACATTATAGGGGCCCGTACTTTGTGAGAAGTCTATGTCCATGTCCTCATTACTGCGCTGCAGTCACCACCTCCTCTCCTGGTTTCGCTTTTCTTGCAGGTTATGGTTCTGCATATCCTGCTGGATAATGCGTGCAGTGTTTATAGTGCTCATAATTGCCACAGTGATCTGAGTGGGCTCCATGTTCCCAGTGCTATGGCACCTGCACTGAAAAAAGGTGCGAAATGATTGTCTGCCGTTGCTCTGATGGAGGGAGGGACGACTGACAACATGGCTTACAAGGTTGGCTTACAGGGAATTAAAATCAACAAAGGGGATGGCTTTGCATCAAAGAGAAACAGAATGGCCCCCTCAAGGATAGAACTCAAAACCCTGGGTTTAGCAGGCCGTTGATTTCACGGAGGGAGGGAGGGGGGCGAAAACGAACACAAAACAAATCTGGTCTATTTCTTGTTTTGATCCACTTCATCTATCTTTATACATCTTGCTGGCAGCAGACGGTGCAGTACGACTGCTAGCCATCGTCGTCTCCTGGCTGCTCGTTAGAAGACAGTGCAGTACGACTGCCAGCAGGACTGAATCGCCATGAGATGAAACTTAAAAGGGAAATGACCTGGCTGAGTCACTCCCATATCTGCTCAGACGCCCCTGACCGACCTCACTGAGGTCAGTTAAAAGAGCATCCTGGAGTGCGGCGATGATGGCTACTAGACATACTGCCCTGTCTGCTGCACTGACCTGCTGCTGTGTAGCAATGCAGTACTGCATCTGCCAGCACCCAGGAGACATACGGTGACGGTTACCTGAGCGGGCTCCATGCTTGCTGTGGTATGGCGTCTGCATGGATAACCCAGGAAAAAAGGCGCGAAACGATTGTCTGCTGTTGCTTTCACGGAGAGAGGGAGGGAATGGGGGGCCTGACGATATGTACCCAGAACCACCCACGACAATGTTTTTGCCCCATCAGGCATTGGGATTTCTACCCAGAATTCAAATGGGCGGTGGAGACTGCGGGAACTGTGGGATAGCTATCCACAGTGCAACGCTCCGGAAGTCGATGGTTGCCTCGGTACTGTGGATGCACTTAGCCGACTAAATGCACTTAGAACATTTGTGTGGGAACACACACCATCGACTGTATAAAAATGCTTTCTACAAAACCAACTTCTATAAATTTGACCTAATTTTGTAGTGTAGACATACCCTTGGTGGCATTACCCAGGTGGACTGTGTGTGCTGCTCAGTTCACAAAGAGGGCCTACCAGTCAGGGTTTCCAGGAGCTGAAGGGGGAGCCCATTCCCACGACCATATTACACCCTCAGAGAACAGATTGCTTTTAACTCCTACTGGGTGCCATGTGCTGGGGCCCCATGGTCAGAGATGTTTCCAGAGGGCCCTCCCTCTGCCCCCTCTCTTCAGGGACCCTTAGGAGCACCATATGGTCTGGCTCAGGGCTATCCCCAGACTTCCATTGAAACTGGCTCAGTAGCCCAAAGTAAATCAAAATAGAACTCTGTGTCCCAAAAGCAAGATCCTTGGGAGTAACCCCATAATTCATACCCATTTCCAATGCTCCTGTCATCCACAGAGACATTATTCTGCTTAGAATCTAACCTTCTGGCTCAGACTTCCTTCCTCTGGGCACATGCTCCCTGTTTTGAGAGGGAAGGCAGCATATATACTATCCTCCTTCTGAAAGCTTCTCCTGATTGGCTGGGAGAGAGGGGAGTCCTGTCCTCCCACACTGTGGGATCCTGATGCTGGGCCTTTAAAGTCAGTGTCCAGGGATCTTCCCATTCCACTGCTAACTCCACAGGGCTGCCTTCTCTCTTCTTGTTTTGAACTGTTTCCGAGCCTGTGCTCACCAACATCCCTTTAACAAAGTCTTCTGGAGACCCTGAGGTTTAAAGGGTTAGTACAACTCATTACAGTGAGGACTGAGGGCACAAGGAAGATCCTTTTCTAATATATTGTTGCAACATTTTCTGAAATCTCAAAAAAAATGCCTTAAATGAAACAGACCAAGGCAATTTTCCAGCAACGTGTCCAGGTATGCACTTGTATAGCATATGATGCATTGGCAAGGTGTGGTACTTCATATTAATGAACTATTCTTTATCAGTTTTCCCAATGGATTAGGTGCAAACAAACGACAAACCACAAAATTCATTAAAAAAACCCACAAACTAATTATGGACAATACAAAGAGAATCTTCCTTTCTTTTTTGAAGCCCAAGGAATTAATGCTATATCGACCCTTGTTACATTCTCATTTGTAGAGCATCTTGGAGTAACTGGTGTTGGTTACTTCTCTTTTTGCTCAGTTATGTTCTTTAGGTTGGATTGAGATTGATTGAACGTCAGACTCTGTTCTTCTGCGATCTTCTGTTCTGTGGCGATAGCAGTAGAGTAGGTAGAGCCAGCAGTTGTTGGGGGTTAGGATAATCAGTGAAGAGATTCTATTAAGATAATTCAGGCATCCATTTCCCATACATCCAGTTAATTACTGTGCTCTACCAATTGGTGAAAGCTGCCATTATTACAGGATTTCATACTAAGAGCCAGATTCTGATCCTATTGAAGTTCATGATAAAACTCCCATTAACTTTAGTAGAACAAGGATTTCGCCATAAGGATTATTACACATTATTATGTTCCCCTTCTTACCTCCCAGAATATATTTATTGTGGTCACTACAAGCAGATGGTAAGCTCAACATTTCAGAAGTATAAATGATACCAAGATAAGTTTAAAAAAATTTGCTCAAATAGGCTGTAACCATGCAGAGCATATGAAAGGAATTAAATATATTTGTAGAATACATAATGAAGGTTAAGTAATGCTTTGGGTGGGTGTAGGCTAACCAGATTCCACTATTTTTGGAGAGGAGTCTTAAATGGCTGCCAATGCTTTGTTTTCTTATTCTTGATTTGTACAGGGTTGGGATTTTTCATACATGGTTTTGAACCATCTACAACATGTAGGGCCTTATTTTGAAACTGTGTGCAGGCTTTTATCCACCTAATTTGTTGGTGTTTGCACGTACAAGGAAACCAGGCAGGCACATAACCGGTCATTTACGTGCAGAAATACCCAGTTTGCACACACCATTGTGGTACTTGCACATGCAAATTAGGCACACAATTGCTTACATGCATTTTCATAGATTCATAGATATTTAGGTCAGAAGGGACCATTATGATCATCTAGTCTGACCTCCTGCACAACGCAGGCCACAGAATTTCACCCACCACTCCTGCGAAAGACCTCTCACCTATGTCTGAGCTATTGAAGTCCTCAAATGGTGGTTTAAAGGCCCTTTGTGTCTGAGTAGGAGATGTGCTTCATTTCTACAGTGTGTGTAGCCATGAGTGCATTTGAACCATTTTAGTAACATGTCTTCAACTGGTTTTTATTACTATCATGACAGATTATGTAGCTCTTTTTGTTGTTTATTTGTATTTGTCTTTTTGTTGTCATACTCTCTCTATAAAATCAACATGGACTTTTGCAAAAATATTCTTTTTAAAAACAAATCGTTATGGTCTAAATACATATGGATGTGATTCTGCCATTTTTGCTCTACAAGTAGCCCCAGTGGGTGGTAGAATCTGGCCCTATGTAATTTAAAGGTTAATAAGTATGTTATAACA